AATTCCCCTCAAGTGGTCCTTTACTAATACAGATATTAGTCCCATATATTGTGTCGGCTTTGGGAATGATTAGCGATTCTTCGTAAATTTCGACACGTTTCATCAGTTAGGTCACCTACTGTGTTTTGCGGACTTGAGAAGTAATTGAACTAACAAAGTAATTTGCTCAGTGACCAAATGTGGAGAGTAGCTTGCAGCCTTACAAAGAACTACGAAGCAGATACATATCTCGAAATCATCCACGAATAGCATGCTTCGCCATCATGGCGCACCTTCGATAACAAACCTGGATCAAAGTACAGTACACGTTCCTTAAATGCGCAAATGAATCCGTCCTGTATATTTATATATGTATAGATAAACACACATACGACTCGTTGTGTATTTGCATGCAAAATGTGTTAAACACCCCTCAACACACGTTCGTTTGCTAGGAATTTGTCACAAAATGTCTATGCTGCCGACAGAAACCTGACAAATATATGACAAATTCAAAACATTCTTTTCTGTAAAACCCTCATTTTTTACCTTCTTTGTGGACATTGATAAGACTGGAAGAAAATAAATTGAAACCTTTTTATGAAAGGAGAAAATACCGTGTGCATTAACATTGTTGCGACAGGTTATGCTAAAATATTTGCATTTGATTTTCTTAAAAATGACAATTCTACCAACTGTCTTGTCATACGGAATGTTCCTGAGTTCCTGAAGCAGAGGATATCAAAGCGACCGCCTGACAAGTATGGTAAGTGACTAATCTCATGAAATGTCGACCGAAATTGTGAAATGGGTTTTGGACTAGGAAGGATTTCTTTGATAGGGTTGTAATATGGATTATCATGCGGCATAATCGTATAGTTCTTCGGACTCGCTAGCATTTTAGCTTTTTAATGCATTTCAATTCGACCTCCGGTAAAAAGCACATTCGGTAAAAATTGGATACTTAATTAGCATGCATTTTTCACATTGATTTTCGATGATCTTATAAATGTAAACATATGTTATAAGAAACATGTACAAATTATGCTTCCTTTTACCCGTTTGGTAGAATGTCACATTATCTTCATAGTTTTTACCTTAAGAAAGGTTATATTTCGGTGTCGAAAAGGGTTTCTATAAGATTCTTAAGATCGTGCGATGTCTATACATGCACCATTATGGAATGTCCAAAACAGCCCGTATCCACTACAGAATTTTATGTAATATAGCACTGTTGAGCTGCATGCCTACTATATCGATCGGATCGAACTGATCCCCTTATGTGGCTCTTGGCATTTGTCCCTCGTTCTCTGCCATTGCTACCCGGTTGCCTATTTTAGGAGCGCAGAATTACCAACGAGGAAATAAAACAGAAATCAGCAGCACGTCTTTTTACTTATTTCGGTGCGCAGGAGGAAGTTTTCATGCTCCCGCCAGCGCTATCGAGTCCTGAAAAGTATTACTGCTAGAGGCGGTGGACAATGGCTGCACGGCATGCAGATTAACGTATGTAGGTGTTTTGACTTCGAAAGAATAATCAGCAGGATCTAGTGCAAAGATGCATCCCAGGCACGATGTTAATGCAGTAATTCCACTGCTGGTATCTGCAAAATAATCGTAATCGGTTGGGCATGCGAATAAGAACCCTATATTATGGGTGACTCTGCACTAAATGCCAGGGGAATTAGGGGTGGGGGAGATAAGGTTTACGATGGTAAGTCTCAAACCTAACGTAGAAGGATTAATGACAGTGTCTCGATCAGAGCTGGGACATGGGAGTAGGTACTCCCGGGAATGTTACTACCGACAAGGACAAGAGGACTGGAATGGCAATTTTTGGCTTATTAGCCGTCGCCAGCCAGTCGTGCGCTGCTGTGAGGCTGCTGGTTGGACTCGAGAGCGCACCCTCAAGGTAGAACGGGACGAGTGAGTTCTGTAACAACGATCGGTGAGCGCCCCTCTATTATTTTACATTCCCGATTGAAATCAACAGGACAGCGAACCCATGGCTCAGTGGTTAGGGACTTTGGACATCTAAGAGGTCGTGGGATCGAGCCCCAGGCGTTCCACACTTCGGGGTTCGGACGAGGGACTAAGTACTCCCTTAAAGTCTGTGCAAGGTCACCTGTAGTTCTAAGGGGTCCCTTTCGCCGGGTCTAACCTCTTAGTCTTTGTGAAGCTGTCGTTTGCCATTCCAGGAAGTAAAAAGTGAGGGAAATGCCACAGAGCGAAACACTACTGTAGCCTATAACCGCCGAATAATAGAATCCAACTGAGAGACCGTATGTCCTCCCCCTTGAGCTGAGATTGAGACAGTGCATCGTCAAACTCCACCATCCTCACATCAGTCGACCACCGAAGTGATCGCACCGGCTTCATGTGGTTGCCCTATCAGCCCATCAATCATTCTCTGCGAAACTGAAACCGCCTAAATTTCAAGTAGATAAGACTTACCTCTGGGCTGTCTCTTCTCTCATTTGCATACTGTGAAAGTGGACGAAGTTTCTTACGTGCGACGGCATAAAGTCCGACTGTATGAAGACTGGGAAAAGCGAATCGGTACAGGCTCCGAAATTTGCAACTGTCAGGGGGTTTCCAGTTCATTCTGGGGGGAGAGGGGCATCTGAAGGTCATCGAGTCGTTGATGCCTCCTATATACCACAAACAGTACACTCAAGCGTTAAGTTCACGGATCCAGGGAAGTGAACCCATTTCAGCAATCTAAGATGCCAGGGCCAACATTAATGGGCGTCTGTTATTTGGTCCTGACACGTGATCGCTTTCTCAAAGACGCTCATCCTCCGTGTGCCATTCACTCTTTACTGCCGTCCAAAACCGGCAAGATGCTGCACAGAGCGGAAGCTGTTCATCCGACTCACAATGTCCTAAAGCATTTCCAGCCATTTGGGTGATGGGGTCACTGGTTCGGGATGCATAAATGCTCCCCGCTATAAGCCGGCGCGAAATAGAAGTTGAGGTGAGAATAAATGACTGGGCGAAAAAATCGCCTGTACTTAGATGTCATTTTGGTATAACTATTAAATCAATCGCGGCCGACGTAACAGCGAACCCTGCTGTCATGTTAATGCGGGTGCGAGTCGAACAAATAAATGCAGTAGGGGCTACTTCGGAAAGCCGTTGCTTCTGCCTCGTCTACGTGAATTGCAGTACGATTGAATTCGTGCATGCATTTGATTCATACGAAATGCAGGCTTCTCTCATTTAATGATGTTTCAACTCAGCAATTGGTTACTTTGCACCCGACCCTGCCATCTGGTATCCCTAGGCATGTTATCCCAGCCTTCCCGATCTGATGTCTGCGTGTGGACTGTGACGGCTTCTAAACGAGACTCCGGCCATGATCGCTACGGACTCGTGGCCCAGTGGTTAGAGGCGTTGGAGTTCGAGCCTCGGGTGTGCCACACGTCGGGCTTTGGTATAACTGGCTGACGACGGCTAATAAGCCAGAAATGGCCATTCCAGTTTCCCTTGTCTTTGTCGGTAATAACCTTCTGTCTATATCATGCGCCGCTGTGCGGCTGCTGGTTGGGCTCGAGAGAGAGTCCATAAGGCACAACGGAACGAGTGAGTTCCGTATGAACGATCGGTGAGCGCGCCCTACCACTGTATATTCCCGATCGAAAACCGACAGAGCAACGAGCTCGTGGCCCAGTGTTTAAAGGCGTTGACTTCTAAACCAACAGGTCGCGAGTTCGAGGCTCGGGTGTTCCACACTTCGGGCTTGGGTATGGCTGGCTGACGTCGGCTACTAGGCCAGAAATGGCCATTCCAGTCTCCCTGGTCTTTGTCAGTAATAACCTTCATCGCTATGTTTATTGAGAAACACGAAACAATCGTAAATATGCAAAAATTCCGCGTAATTTCTGAAGTGATGTAGACAAAGAGCCATTTTTCGTTGGCACCGGTCGTATGTAGTTAACTCTACCACCACACGGCAAAGCGGTTAGGCATTCTTATTGCTTATTTCACACCAACCATCGCCCAACTACTAACCCTGTTGAGAGTAACGTCCGCGTTCCCGTCTCAACTGATTCAGGGGTTAGCATAAGAGCGTAGAGACTAGCCCAATCATCAGGAGTTACAACGGCGATCAGCTGACTCAGGGCCCCTTCTATGCCAGTGTCGTTCCGTTTTTTGTTTCTCTTCCCGGAGTCGTTCGAATAACGACTATCTCTTCCGCAGTCCACCTTACTGCCACACCGCGTGCGCTATTGCAGCCCTTGGTGTGACTGTTCTCGCCGCCAGATGACGAGGATTGGTATGTAGTGTGTACTGGGCGATAGGCAATGCGGGATATACATAACAAGTCACACCTCATTTGTCTACAGGATATGGGGGACCACAGTGTGGAGCTACCGGTTGATAATGCGCAAAGGAGCTATCGAAATCGTCTTAAACAAAAAGGGGGCAATTCAGCAGGGCTGTGAAGGCCACAGCGTAACTAGCAACGGCCAACCGACGTCCCATTATAAATGCTACGTGAAACGTCCAAATACCGAAGCAGACTAATCGGTGGGACTTAAGGCAAGACTACAGTGGCGAGAGATTCTGCTAAATGGCAGTTAATAATCACCATGTCACAGTGCCACCATCGATCTATGGGATGGTTTCTGGAACCGCTGATGTGCCACACCTCAACCCCTTCGCTCCCTAGTTGCACCGTAGCCATTGGTCAGTGATTTCTTATGTACCGGGCGTTCAGAACCGCCTACTCCACAGATGGCATAAGCTGCAGACGGTCCTAACATTGCCCGTCCGCAGACGTGCCGGTAGCTAACAGCTAGGCCATTGGGAAACTCCCCCCTCATTTACCCAACACAGGCAACCTCAGTACTTATTCTTAATCCACGGATCTTCGATTCAAAAAATAACGTCTACTCAATTGAAACTAGTAGGCTTTTAAATAAGCACTGCGGCTTCGGTCCGAAAGGCCACCCAGTGGAGGAAGATGGAGCACACATACCACTTTTCCTGTAAAGAACGCAGTAACAAAATAAACTTCAAGATCTCTGGTTAAGTGACGGTGTGTGAGCTGAACTGTGAAAGACCTGATAGTTCCTATCAAAGAGTACAGCGAAGCTAAGACGGTAAATAGCCACTAGGCAATCTAAGGAAAGGCAACAGACTGGAGCATCGGGGTGGGCAGCCAACTGGAATAGTGGCCGCAATGAGAAGGCAGAACTAAGGTGGGAGTTGGAGAACTTGTTCTCTGACAAGGGTGCGGGGTCATGGGTGCAGATCTCGAGGGCAAGAAAGGTTCGAACGCTGACGTTGGTCACGCGATCGATCAAGTGAATTCCTCGTATTTCCTCAGGGGTAATTAGTGGCAGATGTTTGCGCCGGCCTGAAAGGTAACGGCAAGCACACTGAACGCCTAGTGAACGCGACGCCAAGACGGAGACTGTCAATTCGAAGAAAAAAAGATGGCAACATGAATAAAGTTGTAAAAAAAAGTAGAACAGTAATAGAGAAGGCCTGACAACGGAAACTGAACTACCTTCTGAGACAGAGGACCAGGCCCACAGCCAAACGGTCGCGACTGAGAGAAGTACTATGAGTGGAGGAGATTTTGCGAACTACAATTAACAAAACAAATTGGGTTAAGAAAGAATTTGACTTCATTCTCTATGCACACACATAGAAATAAGATACACTGCAAGAACTTCAAATGCGTTCATGTAAGATCAATAACACAAGCCAGTGAAACAGGTAAGGCAAACCTAAGGGGTAAACGGGAAATGACGTAATCATAAACACCTACTCAAGTAAACACAGTAGCCAGTCTTGTGTACTATTAGGCCTACCCCGGATACAAAACATACTTCTATCCACCACTCAGCTCCGGAAAATATCTACAGCGACAACCATTTACCCAATTTACTAACGGGATATTTTACCAAACATCCGTAAAAACCTGCTTTTGTGACTTCGAACGCATGTCGAAGTCGCAATATTCCCAATTGCGCGAAGGTACTTCAGTGCAATTTAGGTAGTAGCCTGTCATACTTAAATCTGTCATTGGCCGCAGCTAGGGACGATATCATCTGCACTTGCAGATAGGGCAGGACTGCGCTTTCTTGAAAGAGTACCCAAACATAGTGATGTCGTTATTATGTTCAAGATCCGAGGTGAATAGGCTTTGCACTAAAGGGGCGTCCATCTTATCAGCAGGTACTGCAAACATACGGTTAAAATGGAATAAGCCCATCTGACGGTGAAATACTCGCCCTCTCTGGCATTTGCTCGTTGCAAACGACGAAAAATCTTGACTAGGCCAGGAGTAAACACATCGGGACGCCAACGATGTCGAAACGGCTGGGGTTTCCAACCGAAATCTACCAGGAGTGTCCGAAGGTTATTTCTCAGAAGTCAGAAGAAGTTCGTTCGAAGGCCGGCATCCTGAGGTAACTGATTTATACTGTACGATGATTAGTTCTTCAACGCTAATTAATTAATATTTTTGAAACGAAAACGCATTTCGGAGGTTCGGTTGACATTTCATGAGTTAGCACATCTATTGTAAGTAGTAGACTGGCAAAAGCCGTCATCAACATCTCGGCTGGCATTTGCCTGAATCGGTTTCGGCTGGCTACCCAACGCACCCACCGATGGTGGACAATGGAAGGGTATTCGGCGAAGATTAGCTGCCAGCTATGGTGAATAAGCAGTCGCAGACCAGCATCAACAACGCTATCAGCGCTCTCTCCTTGTAAAATATGCCGACTCTCGGGTCTGGTAAATGCTACGAGAACGCGTGAGGCTGAGATCTGGCACGCCGACTGCCTTCTAAGATGCCACAAAGCCCGATGACGGCACTGCAACACGGCAGCCGTGAAGAGTCATTGAATAAATTTGCCTGCGGCCGCTGCCTTGTGGTAAGGCTCTGGAGCCAAAACCCCATCGGGGACAGTCTCGAACAAATAATTTGAGCGGCCGTTGGTGACCCGTCTGTACTCATGATTTCCAACAAACCGCATGAAAATATGTCCGAATAGAGTATCATGATCCATGTGCTACGGCGTCCGCGGGACCCGACGCGACATCTTCACTGGCACGAAGATCCGTGTGCACCGTGTATCCATCCAGTCAGCCCTCCTCCACGAGAGGGCAGTTGTTAGAAACCTAGGGCGGCCTTACTACGCTCAGTTTTCATACGTCCCACGATGGCTGAGTCATACAATTGTTCCATCGGAGATTCAAATGAGATCTAATAAACTTCAAAAACAACCTGTAAACTGAAACAAACATGTGTCGGAGGAGCGTGAACAACAAATTGCTGGCTATCGTGTCAGACAGTAAACAGCAAGCTGCATAAGTGGTCTGAACACTTACAGAGAGCCATCTGGAGAGTGAGAAGGCGAGAATTTGGGCACAGACGAGGCATACAAGCAGACCACGTAGACGCAAAGGACGCCTTATCTTAACCTCCATCCATGTTGGCGCACTTTTCGCCGATGGATCAGCTATGATCTCGGCGGGGTCACCTATCGGATCACACCGAAGATAGGGAAGGATGAACTGTACATCACAGCCGCAACTGCTGGTCAGGGAAAAACTGTATGTGCCCTAAAGGTAGACGAAATTTAACTCATGAAGCGTGCGATTGACGGCTTAGCATCATGCTCAAAAGACGACGTCCTTAGAGGGAGATTTTTAAAAGTCATAAAGGTATTCAGAATTCTGTGTCTTGTAGCCCGAGGTAACATCCTACCGACCACGGAACTTGGCCAACCTCTGTGGAAGTACATTAAACCGAGGAAAGTATAGGAAATTGGTCGGGATCACTGCCGAGGATCTGCACGGGAACAGTTATGTACGACTTAAGAGTATAATATGTTGCCTGGCGAACTGACTGCCGGAGATTAGAAAGAACAAAAGATTTAGCAGTGGATTTACAGCTGCATAAGTTAACATGGTCAAGGCCGGCACATGAATGATCCTTAGACCGATTGTCTTGCATTGGCCTGCAATAGCACTTCCGCGTTCTCCACGCGGCCTCGTGGAAGTGATCGTAAAACAGTCATTACTTCGTTAGCAACCTCTCATAGATAAAAAAGATGTGTCTGCCAGGATGAACCCGCGCGCGGCCTATGAATTTTACTGGGGGCCTCATCTTCCCCTATCAATATCTACTCTCGCCTGACCAGAGTCATATCTCGTCAGTTGTACTTCTCACCATCCAAAATGTGCATTCATTAGTGCGGTTGACCATTATTTCTCCCCGTTTAACTGATATCCAGTCAGACCTCCAGTGTGTTGGGCAAAACATGAACCTGGCCGATTTTAGTACCCTGGTAGCAACTCCAGGTTTCCTTTCCTCTGTTTTTCGTTTGATTTGTTTCCTTCATTAATTTGTGCCGTCTGTTAGGCCCGCATGAGACCTGCTTCCAGCAGCCGTCTCTCACGCACACAAGTGCATAGACAGGATCCTCCTAAATCATTTTTCTCGCTGTTGTCCGATCCCCTCGGAACTCTAAAGATCAAAGACTTGAATCGCAAAAACCAGACCTTACTTACGCTGCCTATTTCTTAGCCTCCTTGACGAGTGTGCCTGTTCATATCGATCCGTCCACACGAGACATGTCTCAACATCCGTCCCTCCGGCATGGGGATTGCCTTTGCCTATACTAGCACCAAAGAAGCCGTGGAACTGCCCGAGGACTTGGGTGTCTACCTCAACGATCCCCACAGACTTGTCCGCAAGACACACATAGGATCGGATTTCTACCGGTCCGCGTGCGGATTCCACTGGCGACCTCAGATATAGCGGACCCACGGATCCACGCACCAAGCATGATAGCCTCCCACTGCAGTTGAGTGACATCAGGCCTAACGGTCTATTTGCCTTGATTCGCATGCCAGTCTCAAGGACCGCATTGTCAGCTACGCGGTCGAGGAGGGAGCTTTCGTCCCGGCAATCTTAAGTTAGCCCTCACCATGCCATCGCCAGTTAGGGCCGTGGTCGGGCGATAGGCGTTTTAGACGATTTCGCCTACATTTCTCAGTAGCACATGACTGCAACAGCCAGAGGTGAGTAAAGATGACGCGGTAGACAGGTCGAGTTACCAATTGACTGTGTAGACCTGATCCGGCAGAGTTCCGGGGAGTACAGCGTAGACGCTGGCGACCGAGTAGTTACGGGACGATCCCACAGGCCTCGATATAGTCGATCACCTCTGCCTTGCTCGAATGGTGGGAAATTCGGCCCAAGGTAGTTGTTGTAAACTACTCCAGTGGTTTCATCATCTACAGCAGATTAACAGATATATTTAGTTGAAATATCCGTGTGGTCATTTCCGTCCTTGAGGGGTTGACTTTACATCTTACGTAGACTTTCTTTGCGTCCATCTGCGATATAGCGCACTCAATTCCCGTAATGGGACTCGCCGGCACCGCAACGTTCCAATCTTTAATGGACGAAACGCCATCTACAGAGGCATATGAGTGGTCTGTTAGCGCGCAATGAATAAAACAATGCATTAGATGAATGAACCGAGCTGGTGAGATGAACGCCGGAGGTAATATCAACGAAATCATTCTCCATCACACATATGGACCATAATTCGTGGTAGAACAGTAGGAGTGAAGCAATCGAAGCAACTTCGGCAGCGTGCCGCCATTCAGCATGACCGACCACAAGGAATCCGTGCGGGAAAAGTCGAAAGAAACGGTTCATCTCCCCACCGGAACCCCGTCAACATGGCAAGCTCTATCAATCAGTCCTAATCCGCTCCACTTATCAGATTATACTTGGATTATTTCTACCCTTTCACGTCCGACTGTTTTTTTTGGATTCTCGAATATACTCATTTAGCAAAAGGGATGATTTCTTCCGGCAACTCGTCATCAAACCGAACCAGTTACATGCATAGACAACTTGTCAGAGTATGATTGGCCAATACTCGCATCATCTGGCCAAAGAAAACTCAGATCACCTACCGACTGCAACGGGTAATGAACGTTCTTCCCATTCGCACCTCACTTAAAACCTGAGCCTTATCTGCCTGGAAACTGCATCTCTTGTGTACGTATCATGTACCTGACGTAACACTGGAATTGCACAACGAACCATTAAATCTGACCCATTTAAGTACTGATTTTCAGGGACTGTGCTCTTACCACAAATCATGACCGGAAGAAAGTATCACATCATAGGATTTCAGATATTAAATGATCCTCTCGATGTACACTTTTCGCAGCAGGAAACGATCACTTCAATTTCAATTTTGGAGACGCTGTGCGATATTTCCTAAGGCTATAACGTAATGGCGACGGGAATAAATTCTGGTATTCTACGTATTGATAATGGTCCTAGGCTCTAGTTCATATGTTAAGGCGATACAACCACGCAGAAAGTAACTCCTGTCTATGGTCGCAAACTAGCAAGGAGCTCTTCCACCATCATGTTGGCAAAAGGTTGTATGTTTTATGTAAGTGGACCATTAGTAAAACCGATCTCATAAGGTGCTACTGGAGGTAGAGTTGAACTCAGCAAACAAAGTGGCCGAGCTCAAGCGTAAAAACCTCTAGAACAGGGTACGGGCATGACTGGCTGGCTGGGAAGTGCAGCCGCTCCAGAAACGGTCACTCCACTCGCTCGTCTTGGTTACTATCACCGCTCAATTCAGTGGCTGTACGATGTTTGTCCTCTTTATTCCTATACTAATCATATTAATTGACGAGGAGGACGATGACTTGGTTATATCTTCTTGGCTTAAATATTTAAGAGCGTATATCCCCTCATATCTCCATAGAGTGTTGGACACACAAAAATACTGGTCAGGAGGGTGGTATTTGTAATCAAAATTGGCTATAAACTAGCCAAATGCAGAAGTCACAAGTAGACATGAGTGATATTCTCGCCAGGTTTGTCCGTAAAAACGGGGTAAACATAAACAAAAGGTGGTAGACAAGGACAAAACACTGATACCCGTAAACTGCAAAGACAGAGATCGCAAAAAAGTAGCTTGTGATCAATAGGGCTAAAATAACAAAAAACAGATTAGATTTTTTGTAAAAAATGCTAGATAAAACATGGAGTGTCACTGAAAAACTTCAAAGTAGGATTAGGTTAGTTAACTCAACTATCCAACATGCCGCAAAAAACATTCGGGTGGCGGGGACCGTTGCTCTGGAACGAACTATGTCCGTGACTAGCACCTCTGGGACAAGTTTATCGTTTAATGAATGGAATATGTGTTCGTTGACCAAATACTGCTTCTTTCCCATAGCTACTGTCACTGGATTCGTATGAACACGTGTCGCTCAAAGCGAGGGATGAGAAAAGCTATTCAGGTGATCCTGTATGTTCAAAACGGCATTTCTGTCTCCTTCAAACGCATTTATATGAACGACTTTGATATTCTTATCCTACCAACTTTATTTGCGGGTGGTCGACATGCAATATTCCCTCGTCACGACTAGACCACCTTGTGTTTTCTTTCATTAAACCTGTAGTAAATAAGACCCGGGTGACTTGGAAGCTACGACTTGTGAAAAAACTTTCGATTTAGTCTATTGTTAGTATATACCGACAAATGGTAAGTCATAGACCCACAATGGAGCAATCGCATATTCGTGGGATCTGCGAATTACACAACTGGAGGTCATCGCCTGGCACCAACTCCTTTTGAGTACAACCAATAAAACCAACAAATCTGATAGTGCAGTTAAATAAAACGTACAGTTAAAATTAATGCAGATATAGACATCATGCGAGTTAGTAAATAACAAATTCGAAAAGAACGGCGGCAGTGGATCACTTTACTGTCAACTTACGCATGCTTAAATGTTCGCCATTTGTTCCCGACAGCTCTAGAATTCCCCAGTTAGACAGACTTCTTGGGTTTTATAAGTAAAACTCCACCTTTACCACAAATACGACTCAGTCCCGCCAAATAAAAACCGTGGACTTCGCCAAACCACAAAGTAATTTAAGACATGTCGTGAGTACCAAGTGGATTTATTATTCAATAGATAGTGTGTTGTAGTTCGTAAAATATATGAAAATTAATTTGCGGCAAATTCCCCCTGACAGCACGTGGCCCCCTCACTGGACGGGACGACGAAGGAATTGTGCGGAAGTCAGCCCCTTTTAGAATTTGCACATGGTCGTGAATATTTTATAGGCAATATACCGCGGGCATGCATGAACTTTTCGGCCCAGTTTAGCCAGGTTAACAAGGAAAAATATTGCTATTTCCCTTGTTTAATTGTGCCACTCGGAGGGGACTTATCTGCCAAGCAGGCTGCGTCCCGGTTGGCGTGAGTACTTTTATTGCCTACTAAGATCGATAGTGAATCGACATTGCGCTACGCCATCGCACGCCACCTTGCTGTCCTTTATGATTGCCTGTTAATTTCCGTATTTGTGTTATGCATGTTGCTTATAAATATAAGCAGCGAATTTTCATTGGTGATTCGCATTTGCTATAGACAGCTAGGTCTAAAAGGATTCATTTTTAACCTTTGCCTATTTTTTTTCTTTGTCAATACTAAGTTAACATAAGTATAACGGAATAAACCGAAGCACCGCCTGTAAGCGAACTGTGCCCAAGAAGAGGGTGTATTATGCCGCGACAGGGGTAGCTGATACTTTTGTCCCATCATCTTCATCGATGCCAAACCACTCAGCGGAACCGGAAGTGCCTGAAGCGAGACCTGAAGTTTCTACATAAGTGGATGTGGATTCTGCAGAATTGATCGAACGAGGGACAAAGGTACGGAGAAAATATGATTTGAGGATTTAGAAGGAAACTGCTTGGAGACGCGAATGCCGCTTTTGAGTGTGAAGGCAGTGCTTGGTATGCTCCGCCCTTTCAACCCAGAAGTACCAAAAGGCTCAAGAACGTTGTCGAGGACCCTTCGAACGTTCAGCAGCAAGCACCTGAAAAACGGTAACTATGTCCACTTGGGTATTGTGCATACTTTTCGCGATCGGTTAAATTGCCGATACACAACCAAAATCCCTTGAATGCCCCGGGCCAATCTTTGCCTAAATCCGTCCCCCGTTTGTTGGTTAGCCTTTCGTAGTAAGGGCGCTCTTAGGCTTTGGCAACCCCGAGCCAGCGGACGAGTTTCTTAAAAACGGTGTCGGTGAATTAAAAGTACTAGTTGATAGCGACCTGCAAGCCCCGCGTACAGCTGATGTTGTGAAGGTGGGATAAACGAGTGTTATCGGCGAAGCCTCAGCCGGCTCCCATATCCAACGAGAAGAAGCCCATAACGGGCCCTACGAACGCGACGGGTGTTTTATGTCATAGAGGTATGTACAATTACTGCAACTACTGTCATATGGAAATTCTCATTGCAAACCGCTTGATATTTCCAGCACACAGTGAGCGTCCTCGGGACGATATGTCATTTCGAGTGCGAAGACAGGTTCGGTGCCATAGGCGCACATCGGTACTTGGGGATTTATCCATCGAAATGGAAGCCCGTTTTCCTCTCGACTACTCGAATCTAGCCTGTCTGGGTGTCGTGCGCAAACTATCGCACATGTGGTGGCTCGGAGTTAAAAGTTTTCGCCAGTACTGAACGCACTCATTAGGAAGTGAAGCAATTGTTTGCGGTCGGGGTTCGTGCGCAAGTGACAAACACTCGACTTCCTTAAGATTTGGACGGCGGCTGAATCCCGGGCCATTGTGTTAGAATCCCTGCTCACTAGTGAACGCTACCAACACTTCCTACAGTCATCTGTTGCTTTGTACATATTTTGTCACTTCCGTTTGTACAGAACATGCGGCGACTGCACATATTCTTATAAATAACATCGTTGCTGATTTTGGAATTTTTTACAGTCCCGCGGATGTTGTTAACAATGTCCATCGCCTAGTCCACCTAAACGATGATGCCAAGAGTTATGGATTGTTATGGATTGTCGGCATTTCCTTTCGAGTCCTTCCTACAAGACTCAATTCAATTCAGGTACATGAAATTACCAGCGAAACAGCCGCACAGGTGTGTGGGCGCATTTATGACAGATGCCTGACTGAACTGCCCACAGGTGTTGAGCTGCTGGGCGACGATAGGGGAGTGCAACGGTCTTTTCGGTTGCCCCACGCCTCCATTGCTATTTCCATGATGAGCATTTCCTGTTGACTCAAGCACCAAGCAGCGTGGTGCTTATAATCAATGTAGTGTGCGTAATGACATCTGTGTCAGCTACCGGCATACGTACCAACCCTTAGTCGAGACTATTTTGAATCAACTCTCCCCCATCCTCCTCCTCCTCCTTAGTTATTTTCAAAGCATCCGTTTTAGCAGGCAGTACTTAACTGCAGCCCTTGCAGACATTGCTTCTAAATATGTCCCCCTTAACCTTGATGGTCAAGGTTCCCTTATTTCCCTGTTAAGCACATTTCAAGAACAGCGACGATTTTTATTCTCACATTTTTGAAGAAATTGTCCCTGGTGAGACCGGCCATAGGGACCGGAGACCACGAAAGCCATCTTTGCTGTATATTCGATCGGTGGATTCAGAACACAAAATTTGTGGGAGTTTTTCTAAATGCATCGCCCGAACAATAATCTCCAAAGCGCGTTGAGCGACCGAGTTTGTCCTATGAAACTTTAAAACTAGTACTATTAGAATGCGTCTTTAAAACATGTACGTTCGACCTGGCCTAGCATTATGCGTGCTGCTGAGCGGAAAAATAGAATCCGTCAAACATTTTTTTACCGAGAGAGTTTTAACTCCGGAACACCGACATTTGTCTTACTAAGAGCGTTGCCGGCTTACAGGCCCTGGTCATTTAGGGTCTCGTAGATTACGAACGGAACCATTTCTGTTATTTAACCTTCTATATATTCGTACCTTTTACCCACTCACTACTTTAGGGCATATTGTCTAACCCGACGTAACAATAATAGTAATAATCTTATTTAATCCCAGTTTGCAGGCCTTTTCAGGGAAGCGTTAAGCACAAACCCGACCAGCAATGAAGAAACTCCAGTGGAAAAGGAATAAAAGTATAGTTGATGCTGGTTTACATGGTTTGGAGGGTTCAGGAGAAAAAAACTGCTGGCAGCGAACTTTCGACCGTCAAGAGGGGAGGGGTTACACGGTATCTGAGACTATCCGACGCCAATTCCTTTCATGAGGTTGGGTGTAGTAGCCGGGTCAACCTGGAGTTCCAGCTGGGGGTTAGTTTCTGACTAACGTCGGCTTGCGTGATTGAAGGGGATGGGGACGGGGTCGCCCTCCCCTTTCCAGAACGGTTGTACTTAGATTTTTGCATCAAGATATCAGGCAATATCTATACATACCAGGTAGGGTCCGATCAGTCGAAGAAGGCACAACAGGCAAACAATATATTGGGAGAGGGAGAGGTATAAAAACGGGAGAACAAGGAGAGTCAGAGGCGCGGAAAGTCCTAGGGGGTAGAAGGGGATGCTTATTAGTCAGGACGATGGTTTCGGGGATACAGTATCCACGGGGTCTTCGACAGTGCCTTGATCTAGTCCGCCGTCCTCACCTGAAACGCCAGACAGAAGAAAGTCACTCAAACCAGGGCACAAAACCTCCCATCTCATTTTTTTCCGCCTCTCCGATCCTTTCCTCTTTTAAACAAAAGATTACTTTCCGGTTCTTACAGGGGATAGTCAAAATAGAGGCGCTGAAGAACATCTGTCGCTGTTGGCCAAAGAAATTGTCCCTGGTGAGACCGGCCATGGTGGTCAGAGACCACAAACGCCATCGCTACGGTACAGTCGATCAGTGGATTCAGCACACAAAATTTGTGGGAGCTTTTCTGAATGCAAAAATCGAGCAATAGTTCTCTTAAATAATGGATAATTTTGCAGAGCTTTCACACCCATGGGTAGTTTATTCCAAATAGCAATTGCATTTACAGAAAAGAACCGACGACTTTTAACAGTACATGCCAAAGGAAGAAATTAAAAGCCTCACGGTGACTGTTACGTCGTGGGTGGACACGATGTCTTAAAGAGGTGAGTGGGTTAAAGGTGTGATTATATAAGAGCTTAAATAGCAAAAATACTCCCTTTTGTAATCTTCGAAACCACAACGGCAACGTTCTTGGTAAGACAAACGTCGGTGTTCCGGGGTTACAACTCTCTTGGTAACAAAGTATTGAACGGATTCTATTTTCTTCCGTTTAGTAGCACGCATGAGGCTAAACAAGAACGAACAATATTCCAGACCAGGTCTAACGCACATATGGTAAATGCGCATTCTAATGTTCCTGCTTTTAAAGTTTCGGGGGATAAACCCGGTCGTTATACGTGCTTTGGAGACTATCAAGGCACAGTGCTCCGAGAGATTAAGACTCTTGGAGTATGATACACCCAGATCCTTAATGGCCGCACGCACATTTGTGGCGTGACCTTCAATACTTAGTTGAGGTTGGCGGTCGTAGCCAACCACCATGAATGAGCATTTATATCAAGAAAGAGAAAGGCGCCATGTGCGATAACACTGGGCAAAAGCCTGTAGGTCGATCTTTAGGAGCTCAAGCACGATGTCACGATCTGCCGGCTTATATTAATATGCAACTTTTAGATCATCGGCATACATGAACGGCTTACAATTCCGAAATAAATCGGGCACATCATTAACGAAAAGTCAAAATAGAAGTGGGCCGAGTACA